GCACCTCTGGGATTGCAGAGCAGCTTCTTGCCACTAGGCCACCAGAGCTCCCCACATCTGCTTTTCTGAGACAATAATAGTGGCATGTGCATACGAGCTGTAGCACCGTGTTAGCAGATGACCTGAGGCTGCAGCTGGTCTCTTGAACCATTGACTTCATAACTGTCCATAATGGAATTCATCATGTTGCTTCCAGTTCCTGTAGAGCATGTTCCCCACCTCAGACCTCTCTGAACAAGACACGTGAGGGTGGGTTGAACGTTTTAAAAACAGATGTGGTTCCAGGTTGTGACGGCGGCCTTTGCTTTGTTTCAGCTTCACAGAGAAGACCATTCCCAACGTCATCATATCCCATCGCTACAAAGCGCAGGACACCCCTGCTCGTAAAACCTTCGAGCAGGCCCTGACCGGGGCCTTCATGTCTGCTGTCATCAAGGACCTCCGGCCCAGCGCCCTGCCCTTCGTGGCCAGCTTGATCCGGCACTACACCATGGTGGCTGTGGCCCAGCAGTGCGGTGAGTGGGGTGGGGAAGCGTGAGGTCAGTTGGCTCCTGTGGGGCGGCCAGCACGCTGTGCTCTTCAGAGAAGCCCAGTTTGTCAGTTGTCTTTTTTGTCCTTGTTTTCTAATTTTCCACTTGATAAACATCCTTGGTATTTCGCTTTGTAAGTCATCATCAGATATTTTTCAGTAAAATAACTGTTTTCACAAGAAAACCTAGCTAACTTCTTTGTGGGCTTACTATCTCCTACCGCCCCTAAAACAAAACCAAAAAGATCCAGGCCCCCTGCTGCTGTCAGGTTGATTGTGGCTCATAATAGCCTGTGACGCCCAAGGCTGTCAGTCTTACCTCGAGCAGAGCTGGCAAAGCAGCCGGTGGGTTTCAGCAGCGGGTCTCTGTCGGCAGCCCTGTGCACACTGTGTGTGGCGGTCTGCGCTGCTGAGCTCTCTGCAAGTGTTGTCCCCGGGGTCCAGCTCTGCAGTCTCCTCCTCACAGCGTCCCCATACGTTTCAGGACGCCCTGTTTGTGCTCCTGGGATGATTGATCATTACTGCCCTTCCCCGCCTGCCGTGCTCTCTCGTCTCCGCATCTGGGGTGCAGGGTGTCCACGTGTGGGGCAAGTTTGCTTTGTTTCCATCTTGGGCTAAAATGTTTACAAAAGGCAACATCAGGACACTGCCGTTGGTTGCCCACGTTTACAAGGACATGCCCTTAGTTTTTTCTTCCCAGACCAGTAGTGACTCGTTTGCAGGGGAGCTGGTGTGTGGACCCCACTTGAGCCACTCTGTACTTGTGTGTGTGTCCTCCTCGGAGTCCTGGGCTCCCAGACGCACCTCCCTTGTTGTTGCTTGTTGAACGGTCAGCACTAGTTTTTTTCCCAGGATTTCCTTCTTGGCTGAGTTGTAAGCTGCTCCCTGCCTGGTGCTGGGCCTCGTGAGGGCTTCCGTATCAGCTGCCACGTTTTGTGGCTTTTCATTGTTTTGATGGTTCTGAGTCTCTTGGATTGGATCCTCACTGCCCTCATTCCCACCTCCACGCCTTTGGATGTGTTGAATGATAAACTCTCTCAGTTTTTCATCCTAAAGTAATACATTTTTGAGTTATGATGGGGAAGATCTGGAACCAAGATGGAATGTCCTGGGGCCTAAAAAAGTAGCTTCAGTAAGAGCCGAGTCAGTCGCTGACCAGTTGTCAACGCAGAGAGAGGGGTTTAGAGCGTTGCTTGAGGGCCTCACCTCCTAGTGGGAACAAGCTGGTCTGGGGACAGGAGGGACGGGACTGTTGGTGTAGGAGGAATTCGCTCCGTCTCACGCTCCGCTGCTCCCCCAGGCCCCTTCCTGCTGCCTTGCTACCAGGTGGGCAGCCAGCCCAGCACGGCCATGTTCCACAGCGAGGAGAACGGGTCCAAGGGCATGGACCCGCTGGTGCTCATCGACGCCATCGCCATCTGCATGGCGTATGAAGAGAAGGAGCTGTGTAAGATCGGGGAGGTGGCGCTGGCTGTGATATTTGACGTCGCGAGCATCATCCTGGGCTCCAAGGAGAGGGTAAGGGAGGCCTGAGGGTGGTCCGAGGTGGTCCGAGGGCAGCGGTCCGGGAGGCCGCCGTCCTGATGCGCTCGTGTGTGCTCCCCAGGCGTGCCAGCTGCCCCTCTTCTCCTACATCGTGGAGCGCCTGTGTGCCTGCTGTTACGAGCAGGCCTGGTACGCCAAGCTGGGCGGCGTGGTGTCCATCAAGTTCCTCATGGAGCGGCTGCCGCTTACCTGGGTCCTGCAGAACCAGCAGACCTTCCTCAAGGCGTTGCTCTTCGTAATGATGGACCTGACGGGCGAGGTAGGTGACATCGTTGCCGTGGTCCTGCCTGCCTGTGGGCGCCCCAGGGACCTGCGTGTGGAAAGCCCAGCTTGTGCAGGGCAGAGGTCAGGTTCTTCCTGCCAGGGGGCTGGTGGGCCCCTGCTTCGTTTCATTTCTGTTTCCCAAAAGTGTTATCAATTTCCTAAAAGCATATTAATGGTTTAAGTACTGGATTCTTAACTAGAAAGTCAGTGATTCAAATCCACCAGCTTCTCCTTGGGAAAAAATGAGGCCATCCGTTTCTGGAGAGATGTACAGTCTCAGAAACCATGTGGGGTAGTTCTGCTGGGCCCTACAGTGTCACTAGGAGTCAGGGTCCATTCAACAGCAGTGGGTTAAAGGGAATTATTGTGGGAGGATGAAAAAGAAGTTTTTGCTTTAAGATACTTCAAGGAGTTTTCATGTTTCTCCTCCTCTCAACTCCCCCCTAGAAAAAGAGAAACCAACCAATGCGCTCTTATTATTTTTTTTTTTATTTTATTTCTTTATTTTTGTGTGTGTTTACTGTCAAATTGGTTCTGACTGGTACAGGAGGAGATTGTCCCTCCTTTTCCTGCAGAGCATCTGGTGGATTCGAACCACTCACCTCTGGGATTGCAGTGCAGCTTCTAAATGTGCCCTTTTAAAGAAACGAACTTGTCCAGAGAACAGTTTGCACAAGCTTGTTCCGCAGATGCTCTTGTCTAGGTCCTTAGCAGCTGGCTCAGGTTCGTTTCCTTATCTGTGACGAGAGGGTGTGTCAGCAGCCTGGCAGGTGTTCTTCCTGTGTCTCAAGCCCTCTGCGCCTCAGTGACAGGTGGCAGGCTCCTCAGCCAGCACTCCTCTGTAAAGGAGGTGCTGCTCCCCACTCAGCCAGGAAGGGCCATAGGGTGCAGCCTGCAAACCCCAGCCCAGCTCAGAACCCGCCGCGGCTGAGTCCGTCGTGCCTCCTTGGTGACCAACAGGATAGAGTCGACCTGCCCCGTCTCCAGACACGCCACTCCAGGCCGCTGAATTGGAGCCAGCTCGCAGCTGACCCTCCAGTGGGGCTTCCGAGGCTCTAAATCACACGGGACCAGAGGGCTTGTCTTTCCCCTGAGGAGCAGCTGGTGGATTCAAACAGCTTGCCTTTGGGTTGGCAGTGCAACTTCTTACCCATTAGGCCGCCAGGGCTCCCCAGGGCTGCCCAGTGGGGCTTCTCAAAGTTAATAAACCTTTCTCCCGAGAATCAGCTCGTGGGTTTGAATTGCTGACCACTCCGTTAGCAGCCCTAATGCCGTAACCACTATACCATCAGGGCTCCTCCTTTAAGCCTTATTTTCAGATTAAATAAAGTAGGTAGTGTTGGGCACTGCAGCTAATCTACTTGGTAAATGCCAGGATCACATTTAACTTGGTTGCTGACACTGATTCCCGCTCCTGACAACCCCATGAGGGCCAGGGTAGTAGGATGTTTTCAATGGTTGAAGCAATTTTTTTTGACATTTGATTGCCAGGCCTTTCTTTTGAGGCACCTATGGATGAAATCCAAATCCCCACCCTTCACTTCATAGCCAAGCACCTTAACCACTTCCACCTCCAGGGCACTCCTCGGGGGTCATGTTTAGACAGGTACCTTCCCTTTTAAAAGACAAGATGGACTTTCCTGTGTGAAGATGACCGAGTTCTACTTCATGGCATGGGCAGTAGGAAGCCAGGGGTGCTGGGCATGGTCCCCACGTAGGCGGTGGGTGCTACAGGGCCCCTCTGAGGCTTCCTGACCTGCAGGTCTCCAATGGCGCCGTTGCCATGGCGAAGACAACCTTGGAGCAGCTTCTGATGAGGTGTGCAACGCCCTTGAAGGACGAGGAGCGGGCCGAGGAGATCCTGGCGGCACAGGAGAAGTCCTTCCACCACGTGACCCACGACCTGGTGCGGGAGGTCACGTCCCCGAACTCCACCGTGCGGAAGCAGGCCATGCACTCGCTGCAGGTGCTGGCCCAGGTCACGGGCAAGAGTGTGACGGTCATCATGGAGCCACACAAGGAGGTGAGACCAGGAGCGTGGCTTTCACATGTGTCACCGTGGCACAGTAGACAGCAGAGCAAACCTTTTTGACTCTTTAAGTGTGCAGGTCAGTGGTGGTAGTGACACTCACCCTGTCCTGCCCCCCCACCCCCTCCCTCATCACTTCAGAGACTTGGTGATCCTTCTGTCACCATCCTGGCTTCCTGCTGCCCACCCCCAGGTGACCACTGTGGTCTCCACACGTCTCCTAATCACAGACGCCTCATCAGGGGCCTCATGCAGTTCTTGACCTTAAGCGTCTGGTTCTGTCACTCGGTGCTACCTTTCCACCCTTCATGTTGTAGCTGGTGTTAGACCCTCACTTCTTGTTGAGTAATAATTTAATCGTGTCGAATACATTTTTTACATGAACTTTTTATTTATTTATGTATTTTTTTTTATGAACTTTTTATTGTGCTTTGCATGAAGGTTGACAGAGCAGACTGATTTTCCACTCACTGATTCTATGCATTGTTTGTGACGTTGACTGCGGTCTCCACGTTGTAACTGCCCTCTTCTCACGCAGACGGACCTGTTGAGGTTGTGGTGGGGCTGTGGGTCATAGATGTCCTTGTCACAGGTGCACTTTAGGACTCGCGACGGGTAGGTGGCATGTTCGCCCATTTGGCTCTAGCTGTGATTGCTACTGTTGAGAGGATAGAAGTCTGGGTTCCTGGGGCTGGGCTGCGAATCGGGCTGTTCCGTGTTGTTTTAGGGATGATTTCAGGACTGGTTGCATCCAGTGTGGTATTCAGGACTCCGTTTTGGCCCAGGAACTAACTGCCCGGTCATTCACTTATGAACGAATACTCATCACATTGATGTTGTTAGCTTGGTAGTTGTCATAGACTATTCTGATGATGATGTTAGGTTTTCCAGTACCAGCCGGTCGATCTGATTCATAGCGACCCTGTGTGACAGTTTCATCTCCTAAGCTGTACTGTCCACAGGTGCAGGTCACCAGATCGTTCTCGCGTGGAGCTGCTGGGTGGTCTTGAACCGCCAGCCTGTGGGTTGTGGCCCAGCTCGTCACTGTTGTTACGTGAACTGGCCTGTGCTTCTTCCTTGTTCCCCCAGGTCCTCCAGGACATGGTCCCCCCCAAGAAGCACCTGCTGAGACACCAGCCTGCCAACGCCCAGATTGGCCTGATGGAGGGGAACACCTTCTGCACCACCCTGCAGCCCCGGCTGTTCACGATGGATCTGAACGTTGTGGAGCACAAGGTGTTCTACACGGAGGTAGGGGCTCCACAGCGATGCACGTGGGACTGCGTGTATCTGCTGGCGTGGGCGTGCGTGGGAGGGTGGTGACGGGGCTGGCCTGATTAAGAGAGAGGGGACCATGCACAGGAGGCTGTGTGTGTCTGCTGGCCCATGTGCACAGGAGGATGGTGCAGAATGGTGTGCGTGGGGCTGTGTGTGTCTGTCGGCCTGAGTGTGCACGGGAAGACGGTGAATGCGGTGCTGTCTGTATCCGCTGGCCTGAGTGTGCACGGGAGGACGGTGCAGAGCGGTGTGCGTGGGACTGTGTGTGTCTTCTGGCTGGAGCATGCAGGCAGGCCCTAGCTCCTTGAGCACGCTTCTTACATCTGGTACTGATATTGAGGGGGCCGTGGTCCTTGGAAGCTTGGGGCAATGTTGATGGTTTCTGAGTTAGTTTGGATGTGGTTCTTGAAGGCCTTAAAGTTATACTTTCATTGTTAAGTGCCAGGGAGTCCACCCCATCTCCTAGGAACCCCACGTCTAGCAGCGCAGAGCCCTGCCTGGGCCTGCACCCCCCTCACATGCACTGCTTGCTGTGTGTTGAGCCATTATTGTAGCCGCTGTGTGAGTCTGTCTCGTTGAGGGTCTTCCTCTCTTTCTGCTTTTCGAAGCATGATGTCCTCCAGGGACTGTCCCTTCCTGATGAGGTGTCCGAAGTCCATAGTCTCACCATTGTTCCTTGTAGGGAGCACATGGACTGCTGCTGTGCCCGAATGCCTGGGCAGGTGGCGACCGGGGTATCTGACTTGTAGCCCTCCCAGCAGCTCTCCCTTCCTCCTCTGTGCTCTTTGTTCTTGAAATAAAAATAATGCCCCAGTGCTAAAAGAGGGAGCTCTGGTGGCCTCATGGTAAGCAGCTGTGGCTGCAATCCAGAATGTACGCAGTTCAAATCCACCAGCACAGGAGAAGGAAGAACAGCCTCCTGTCCAGTTCACAGACTCTGAAAACCCACTGGAGGGTTTTCAACTGAAGGATCACAACGATTGTGACTCGTTGGCACGTAACAGTGATAGTGCTAAAGGGTGTTGGCCGTCACGCCTGCTTCTCCAGCCCCGGTTGGTGTTGGGGGAAGAAGCTTTCCTTCAGAAAAGACAGGCAGTCTGCAGCCCGGGCCGGTTAGAGGGAGGAAAGACGCCAGGTGACGGGGCAGGTGAGGCTCAGGTCTCGAACGGATGCGCGGTCCAGTTTTGCTCCTTCAGTTGTCTAGGATTTTAATTCAGTTTGTCATCCATCTGTACAGGCTTGGTTTCACGATGAATTTACATCTGGAAGCCTCGTGTTTTGGGTTGAGTGTGTGTGTGTGTGTGTGTGTGTGTGTGTGTGTGTGTGTAAGAGTGTCCTGCTCTGTCCCCCATGCGGAGGTCATTCGGCCTTCACAGTAGCCAATGGGCTCTTGGCTTTGTCTTTGCTCTGCAGTTGTTGAACTTGTGCGAGGCCGAAGATTCAGCACTGACCAAGCTGCCCTGCTATAAGAGCCTCCCGTCGCTGGTCCCTTTACGGATTGCTGCACTGAGTAAGTCTGCACAATGAGTTAGTACAGCGTTCAGGTGTGGTCAGGTGCCTGTGTGTGGACTCCAGGTCACAGCTGCCTACGTACAATAATACCAAGTCAGTGCAACTGTGAACGTGCAGACGGACCATGGATTATTTATTATCCCTTTTCTCCCCCTGAGGCCCCACCTGGTGCCGCTGAGTCAAGTGTGATTCCGCTCCCTGTGGACAGAGTAGAACCGTTTCCAAAGGGAAGAGCTTTATCAGGCCACATTGTTGCAGATCAGTAATGAGCCTTTCCCAGGTTAGCAGTGAAATTGTCTTCCTTTTTCTCTGAAGACGCCCTTGCTGCCTGCAATTACCTGCCTCAGTCCAGAGAGAAGATCATCGCTGCCCTCTTCAAAGCCCTCAATTCCACCAACAGCGAGCTCCAGGAGGCGGGGGAGGCCTGCATGAGAAAGGTGAGCCGCGGCCTGTTTCCCTTGGTCTGTGGGTCTGGAAGGACACCTGTGCTTGTGGTATTTGAGCTGGTGGTGACACCTCACCTGCTTCTCAGTGGTACCAGGCCTTTTAAACATGATGACAGGCCTTGCTTATTTCATCTTCAGTTTCTGGAATGTATTATTATATATTGACCTGTGACTTGCTGTTATGTGCCATCGAGTCACCTGCGACTCATCGCGACCCTATGCACAGTGCTCTGAACCCTGCTCTGTCCTGGGCCAGTGTCACTGTCTCTGACATACCTGTCCTCATTACCCCAGTTACTGTGCCATTCTATCTCATCTGGGGTCTTCCTCTCCCTTTTTGACCCTTCACCTTTCCAAGCAAGATGTCCTTCTCCAAGGACTGATCCCTCCTGGCAACATACTCAAAGTACATGGGACAGAGCCTCAAAATCCTTGCCTCCAAGAAACAGCTTGGCTTCACCCTCTTTAGGACAGACCTGTTAGTTCTCTTGGCAGTTCATGGGATGTTCAGTACTCTTCTCCAGCACCACAACTCAAAGGCATTAATTCTTCTTCTGTCCTCTTTGGTCATTGTCCAGCTCTCTGATGCATCACAGGTAATTGCGAAGACCATGGCCCGGATCTTAGTCTCTAGACTAGCACCTTAGTCTCTAGATTGACATGGTTGCTGTTTAGCACTCCGGAGAGGTCCCTGACAGCATAGATCTGAGCCCTGTCCTGTCCTGCGCCAGTCTCATAATCTCTGACACACTCAAGGCCATTGCTGCCGTCCCTGTGCTGATCCTCCTGGTTGATGGTCTTGCGCTCTCCATTTTCCTCAAGGAAAAAGACAGCACTTTCTGCTAATGTTTTAGGAGCTAGCTTGTGTTATGAGGCCTTCACTGTTATTAGCGCATGTCTATAACCTTTCTCTTTTCATAGTTTTTAGAAGGAGCGACGATAGAAGTCGATCAGATCCACACGCACATGCGGCCTCTGTTGATGATGCTGGGAGATTACCGGAGCCTGACGCTGAACGTGGTGAACCGTCTGACCTCGGTCACGAGGCTCTTCCCCAACTCCTTTAATGATAAGTTTTGTGATCAGATGATGGTAAGCCACGTGTGTTTAAATGCATTCTATAATGAGCATAGAGCAGTTACTTTAGTGTCCAAGAAAGACTTTTTTAAAGAAGCCATGCATTTCTGTGATCTGAAATTCAGACGATGTTAGAGGGGACCCCTGTCCTCCGTCCTGTCCGCTCTCCTTCGTGCAGGGGCTGGTGGGTATCGTTTGTAGTGTTCCCCGGAGATGTTTGTGTGAATGATCGGATGTGACGTGCGTGGGTGATAGGAAGAGAGGCTTGCATGTTATTTTCTCCACCGAAAGGAAGCATAGATGATACAGTTACTGCTTTTCTCCCACTTCCTGTCACATCCTAGAGATCATTTCTGTGTCCTGGTTTAGTGACAGTAATCTTTCCTCTGATGAATGTGCTGTCATATAATCTGACTGCCTCCCCAGTGATATACACACAGATTGGTCCCAGCGCTTGGCCCTTATCAACAAGGACGTAGTGAGGAAACACAGTATTGTGGGCGAGTGAGTTCCAGATGAGAGGACCGTATTCCATGTACTCATAGGTCAGACATGTTGGTTGTAGAGGTGATTGAGGGGCTGAATCAACAGAGGACCCCCTTGTTAGCCCTAGTCTGTCACATCATCCAACCGCTGGAGCTCACGTCAGTGATGTCTCAGTGCTCGGTCCTCGTCTGCTTGTCACACTCCCGTTTCATCCCCCAGCTTGTCCACTGCCATTTCTTGCTGCCTGAAGCAGCTTGGCCGTTGTTAGAGAGCCTGACCCGTCAGGTCCACTGTGACCAGGCCATTGTTAGAGAGCTGGACCTGTCAGGTCCACCGTGACCAGGCCGTTGTTAGAGAGCCTGACCCGTCAGGTCCATCACGACCAGGCCTTTGTTAAAGAGCCTGACCCGTCAGGTCCATCACGACCAGGCCGTTGTTAGAGAGCCTGACCCGTCAGGTCCACCACGACCAGGCCGTTGTTAGAGAGCCTGACCCGTCAGGTCCATCACGACCAGGCCGTTGTTAGAGAGCCTGACCCGTCAGGTCCACTGCGAACAGGCCGTTGTTAGAGAGCCTGACCCGTCAGGTCCACTGCGAACAGGCCGTTGTTAGAGAGCCGGACCCGTCAGGTCTGCTGTGAGCAGGGCTTCGTTTATTGGACGCCGCTTCACAGGTGCTCTGCACAGCAGTGTGGAAACAGAGCGATACCTCGCAGGCCGTGGTTTCTGGCTGAGCAGCCCTACTCCCCTTAAAATGAAGAACATGGGCTTGTGTTGGAGATTTAGTCAGAGAGGCTTGGGGTTTTTTCCTTTTTCTACGGTGATTAAGCAGGAGCTCTGATGGTGACGTAATTGAGGCGTTGATCTGCTCACAGTGAGGCTGGTGGTGCAAACCCATCAGACACTTCTCGGTAGGAGGGGTGGTGCTCTCTGCCAAGATCTGAAGCCTCGGACCCCCGTGGGGCAGTTTGCTCTCCCCTGGTCCGGCGAGGAGTGGAAATCAGCTCGAGGGCAGTGGGATTGGCTGTTTTGTTTTTGAGTTCGTGAATTTATACTGTGTCTTTGCATTTCACATGCTCACATGTATATGTATGACATGCATAATAAACTAACGTGTAGGAGTTGGATGGTTTGAAAACCACGCTGGTGGTTAATATCCTTTGTGATTTTTATGGTGTAGGGACTTTGAGGGGCTCTGTAGTGTGTGTTTCTTGGTGCTTTCTGGCCTGCTTGCCCTGCAAGACACAGGTTTCGTGAAAAGCAGCTCCATGGAAGTTTCACAGAGTCCCTAACGACATGAAGGGTCAGAGGCCTCCCTTAAAGTTAAGAGCCTCCCCAACCTGCTCGGCCAGAAATCCCTGTCACAGCCTCTGGTCAGCTGCCCACGCGCAATTGTGATGCCAGAGACTGGGCTCGGCAGGGCCAGTGCTACACCTATTCCAGATGTGCTGTCTCTGGCATGTTGTTCTGGGAAGTCCTGGGTGCCCTGTCCCTGGGGTCCTGTCTGAAGAGCACTGTCCCAGGTGCCCTGTCCCTGGGGTCCTGTCTGAGGAGTACTTCCGAGTGCCTTGTCCCTGGCATGCTGTCTGAGGAGTGCGGTCCCAGGTGCCCTGTCCCTGGGCGTGCTGTCCGGGTGCCCTGTCCCTGGTGTGCGGTCCGAGGAGTGCTGTCTGGGTGCCCTGTCCCTGGTGTGCTGACCCTTGAGCTCCTGGTTGTTTTCTCCACATGCCTCACTGCCTGGTTTGGTTGGTTGAACCCTGGGGGTTGCTGAGGGCTTGAAGGGGCCTCCAGCAGATCTAAGCCTCATATCTGGGATCTTGGTGTCAAAATGCAGAGTCATTTCACTGCCCTTTCACACTGACCTGTTGGCCACTGACCCAGATGGATCAAAGCTGACTTCCTTGGCCCTCCGCACCCCAGTGCCCACTGCCTCAGCCCCACACTGCCTTTCTGGGCCCTTGTCCCTCCTTCTACCTGGAGCACTCCGTATGCCTGTCTCCAGGTCCCTTGTACATGCAGGCACACCCTATTTACAACTGTGCTTTGCTTTGTGGGGGCCTCCACACCCCAGCTCGAAGAGGAGGACAGGGATGATGATGTTTGTCTAGCTTGCTGGACATCTTATGTCCTGTCAGGATCAGTTTACCCCCCTCTCTGCAGAACATGAGTTCTCCTGTCTCCAGAACACGGGGGGCTGCCCCTGACAGATAGGGGACAGACTTGTAGTTCTCACGGTCATCCTGATGGGAGTGAAAGAGTGGATGGATGATCATGTGGTTGTGTGCACCCCAGCAGCATTTGGGGGTGAACGAGGAAACAAGTCTGAGGCTGTGTTTCTCTGACAGCAACACCTGCGCAAATGGATGGAAGTGGTGGTCATCACTCACAAAGGCGGCCAGCGGAGCGACGGAAACGTGAGTGGGGGTCGCGCTCGGGAGGGGCTGCCCCGTGCATGCGGGCGTGGGGCGGCCAGCAGGCCCGTGCCCCATCGTCACCTCTTCCCAGCATAGCACCTCGTTCTCCTGCCTCTGAGCTGCACAGCGTTCCCATCCGTGCTCCCTCCAGGCCCTCCCTTGCATTTGAATTACGAGGACATTTCCAGGGATTCCAGGAAGCCCACCTTGTCCTTATTCCAGGGGTCTTGGTTTTACTTCTAGTGTTTTCTGGACTGTTCTAGGCGGTTCAAGGTGGTGCTGTCCGTCCCTCGAGGCCCAGCAAGCACTGTGTTTTGTCCTTACTGCCCACTCCCACCTCCGGGAGGCCGTGTCTGGGGCTGGTGACAGCAAGTGCCTGCCCCACAGTTTCAAAATAGTCTTACCCACGTGTCACGTGTGTGTCCTCAGGCTGCTGAAAGTGAAACGACAAGAACTTTAGAAATCACTATTTTTATTTTTTCCTCCTTCTTTAGGGTGTTGAGGACAACCTGTCTTAGCTAAATCTTCCAGATTACCAGATATGGGCTGCCATTCTCTTAAAAGTCAGTGCTTTCTGCGGTTTTGAAGCTAAAGTTACTTGTAAAAATGTGTTACATTTTTAAAAATCTATTTTATTTGAGTGAAGCTTTGCACGTTACATTGATTTTTTTTTTCAGGCAGTAATTCGTAGGCATTAATTCCCACTGATGGGTGGAAGTAACTTATGACAGTGCCCAGCAAACCCTTACTGTGTGTTCCTAGACCCTTCACTCACCTTTTCTGTTTAGAGATTGCTTTTCCTTTTCTTCCCCAACCCCCACCCCATGTAGATGTTCATTTTTCTGAAGATCCATTGCTGAGGTTTTTTAAGTCGCTGCCTGTCCTCTCAGTGGGATTTTCCTAAGGTCCTCTGACCCCCTCATGGAATTTTCCAGCACTCCTGCTTAGGAAACCGCTCACAGTTCTTCAGAGGCATGATAACGCCGCATTTGATCCCCTCGTGCCCTTTCGTTGGATGCTTCGTCTCATCCCAGTTCAGTTTGCTTTTTTTGACTTCATTCTTTGTTTTGACAGTTCTGTGTCAGGAGCATTTTGTTTACTTGAGTCATAGTTCCTGCTGCTTCGAAAGAATCGACTAAGTAAAACAGAGCTAGAACTTTAAACTTGAGTCCTCAGCACCCCTGCTCTCTCTGAAGGTTTGCTGTTCTTGTGGGAACCTTCCAGAAGCTCTTGTGGGCTGTGGCAGGGAGTCTGAGAGTGACACACTCTCTGGGGAGCCGGGACAGGCCTCCGGGCCTCTCCACTGCTTGGCTGTGTTGTTGCCACCTTTGCTTCAAATTTTCCTTTTGTTTTTCCTTTTGTTAGCAGTAAGCTGTTAATTCTCTGAAACATAAGAGGCGATTCCAGAGTAAACATTAAAATTAAAAGCCCTAGTGAATAGATGAACAACTGCCATTGGATCAGAAAGAAGAGGCAGACCCCTCACCAGTAACAACATGTAACCCGTTGTGCGGGCGTTTGGAAAGTGAGGTGGGCGCAGTTGTGTAGGGGATGGAGTTCCGTGACCATCAGGGTGTCACTGAGCTGCTGCTGTGACATTCACATCCTTTCCATCCAGTGGCCTGAACCCAATACTGGCCAACTCCCCGATACATGCCTGAGCACCTGCATTTCAGCTGTGGGGGGGGGACCTGAGAGCCAAGTGGCCAGGGCTGCTTTCCCTAGAGAGCTCAGGACCCTGCCCCACCTTGTTCCTCAGTAGGCCCAGGGCCAGGCCCATGTAAGGCCACGGTTTGAGGCCTGTGTCCTGTTCCCCTGTAAGGCCAGAGCTGGGCTCCCGACCTATGGCTCTCTGATCCATTTCTGTGGACATTGTACAGCACTGCGGATGGGCCTTGGAAAGTCCTTTGTTTTAACGTCCTCAAATCCCCTAACACCATTGTGTAATGTGGCACTCGTCCTTGAAGTTGAATAGTTGATTAGAAATGAACAAAGCCTCTAACAAGTCCCCCGTCCTGACGTGCTGCGCTGCCCCTGCGTTCACAGAGATGCCCTTTGGTACCACAGTCTCCGGGCGGCCAGCAGCTGCCCACCTGCTGTGCCAGTTGTGACACAAGGCCCTTCCTCCCGGCTCCTGCACACCTTCAGAGCTGTTTTTTTGGGAAACTAGGGTTGGCTTCACAAGGCACTCAGGTAGCTGTTGGATGTCCCGTGGCCACAGGCTCTTCTGTAAACCGGGGGGCCATATGGATGCCTGCCGGGGCCGATCCGCAAGCCATCTCCACCCCCCCCAGGCTTTGGAAAGAGGGAAGGTTAGGGTTTGGGGATTTGGTAGGGGTTTTTCTATGCCTGTGTGAATGAGTTCATCCAAGCCACTCTTATTTTTAAGTCCATTCACGCCATAAGTCTTCTTTGACTTGCTCTCCATCCAGACAGAAGTTCTGAAGCCTCTGGTTTTGGTTTTCATTTAGGGGGGACCCAGTCCCATTCTAGGGGGGCCGTGCTTGCCACAGAAGGGCGGAAGGTGTTAATCTGTTAACGACCGTGTGTGTTTTCTGATAATTGTGACTGTTCTGTCTTGTTTACCCACTAATCCTTACTGTGTATACGGGACCTTTCTCTGTAAATAACATGAATAGAAAAAAAAGACCGTTTTCCTCCCCACCCTCAGGAAAGCATTTCCGAGTGCGGGAGATGTTCCTTGTCTCCATTCTGTCAGTTTGAGGTGAGAACAACCTATTAACAGTCAGTTTCTGACTTGCACTGTGAAGAATAGTTGTTTGTGTATTTTTTTTTTAAACTAAAAAAAAAAAAATTATTTCCTTTTCTTTGCGTTTTCTTGTTTCTCTTTTCCGTTGCCCTTTTTTTTCACGCTGTGATTTTTGTTTTGGTTCAGCCTGCCATGGAAGGGGTAGAGGTGAGAACGCGAGTGGAGGCCCAGGCGGGGTTGCTGTTGTATTTGGTTTTGCTGTGACTCGTTTAGCTGTCCTGTGGTCTGTCCTGGGCCGAGTGCCTTGTACCTTGAGTGCAGTGAACCGTATTGTCTGTCTGTGGCGACGTCTCAGTCCCATTGCTGTGACTGTCCAGGTGCCAAGCATGCCTCATCCCGGAAATTTTAAGCAAGACTCTGAGGGGTGGTTTGGTTTTGGTTTTTTAATTTTTTTCGTTTTCTATTTGTTAGAAATTTCCGTCTCTCCACACCACGTAAGACATAGTTGAGTTTTACTAGCGTAATGTTCTTAAGAACTCATACATCCAACAACCTCTTGAGAACCTGTAAAAAGAATTTAGTGAATTTACTGGAAATGCGGGCAGCTGTAAGTTGTCTTTCATATGACTGGCTGACTGACCGGACTCCCTGCACTGGACACACACGCACAAACAGGACAGACACTCTGTGAACTGTCAGACCCCAAGGTTCCCCTTCTCCTATAAACAAAGGGCTAAAACCCCTGACTTGCTGCTGTCAAGTTGATTGCACCTCCAGTGGCCCTCCGTCAGATTTCTGAGCCTGTGCCCCTTTCCAGGAGCAGATGGCCTGTTCTTTCTCCCAAGGAGCACGATGTGGACTCAAACCCCTGACCCTTTGGTTGGCAGCCACAGTGCCTCCAGGGCTCCCTCTCCTGTACAGCAGGGAGGTCGATGACACCTGTCGTTAGTTCGTATCTCCCAGCATCGATGTGAAGACCTAAAGAAGTCATTTCATTTGGTGCTTGGAAAACTAAAAACCAGAATGTAGAAGCACCACTATTTGGTTGTGAAGGAGCCCTGGTGGCACAGTGGTTAAGTGTTTGGCCACAGTTGGAACCCACCCAGTGGCTCTATGAGAGAAAGGCCTGTTGATTAACTCCTGTAAAGTTGAAACCAAAAAAGCCCTGTCACACTTCTTCTAGTTTCCAATCCGGCCAGTCTTTACAAGAAGAGATGGCCTCAGTGTTCTCCAGTGGAGTGTCTGGGGATTCGAACTGCTGACCTTCTGGTTAACATCCCAACACATAGCATACTATACTAGCAGGGCTCCCACTTGTAAGGAGAGTACAGACAATTCCTGTGTCATGTAGGATCACCATGAATTGGGATCCGTGGATGGCATCTAGCAACAACGCTGGAATATTGTCATTTCAGAGGGAGACAGACACACACACGCACACACACACACACACACATTTCAGAGAGGGAGACACACACACACACCACCCCCCACCCCCACCCCCGTCAGAGGACTTGAGTATTTTGCAGAATTCTGGGGTTGGATGACACCACCCTGGGTCAGTTTTCCTCTTGACATTTTTAGAAGTACCTCAAATGGTATTGGGAACACCCTGTGTCACCCCATTTTACCACGAGAGTCATGCTTGTCACATTCACCATGGAGCATGGCCCACCCTTCCCTGTGATCGTGTGAACCCCTTACAGAAACAAACTGGAACTGAAATTAAGAACAGAGATGATGTACCCCTCAGTCAGTGCTGTCAGACGCTGTCTTTAACGGCGCGATCCAGCGTTTTGTCAGCTTGGTTTTTTGGCCTGGTTGATAAATACTTAGACCATCGGCCAGTCACTTAATGATGTTGCCGCTTGGTTACTGGCCCCAGGACTCAGGTGTTTTGTGAGGACTTCCTCAGTGCTGGGTCCTGAGGGCAGAAGTGGTCTGTCCCTCAGAACCCAGGTTGTTGGGAAGACCCCCGGCTGTTAGCTCATGGCAGAGGGGTCACCAGTCTTAGTGCTCTCAGATCACACACATGGGGTCCCACCCCCGTGCATCAGTCCATGCCCTGGAGGGTCCCTTCCCACACCTACCGGTGGTCCTGGAAACATGTCACACCCTGACGTGAGGCACAAACACACCGACAGACGTTCCCCCATAGTGGACAGTACAGCAAGTCCCAGGCAGGTAGTCTCCCGAGGACGCAGTTCCAGTCCACGGTGGGTAAGTTGTGGCTTCGTGCGTGTGAACTCTGCTTCAGTGCCTAGCCTTGCACACGTAGTTAGACTGTGGTAGGCTCTGTGGTCCCGGCATTAACATGAACACGCCAGACGAGTTGACCCGCTTTCTAATTTCTGGTTCTCTCAATTAGGAAATGAAGATTTGTTCTGCCATTATAAACCTCTTCCACCTGATTCCAGCCGCACCCCAGACTTTGGTCAAGCCTTTGTTGGAGGTTGTCATGAAGACAGAACGGGCCATGTTGATCGAGGTGAAGACCTAAACCGGCATTGGTTCTGGTTCTTCTCCCACCTTTGCCTCCATTGTTTTCACTGTGTTGTCTTTTAAAGTGGTTCATCTAAAGAGGTGACGTATGAGTGTTTGCTTGTGGCTGTTAGTGCAATCCATTAATGAGGGGGACACGTGTGAGGTGGTGGTCAGTGCAGTCCATTATAACAGGACGTGTCTCAGGACCACGTGAAGCAGTTGTTAGCGAGTTCAGTTGTGTGACTGTGAATTATCATCCCCTGTCACAGTGTGAGGTGACTTGGTAGCATAGTCCAGCTCTGAGGGGCACCAGCTCAGCACTGGGCTAAGTGGGCAGACAGGTGAGCTGGGGAAGGAACGCCAGGCACCTGACGTCCTTTCCCCACTGCGCTCAGGCTGGCAGTCCATTCAGGGAGCCTCTGATCAAGTTCCTGACCCGGCACCCCTCCCAGACGGTGGAGCTGTTCATGATGGAGGCCACGCTGAACGACCCCCAGTGGAGCCGGATGTTTATGGTAAGAGCCGTGAAGGTCCCATTGTCCACCAGCACACGGACGGACGTGCCTGAGCCCTCTCCTGTTTCTCCTGAATAGAACGAGTGCTCTATTATATGGAGTGTCCTGTGAACGAGTTCAGGTTCAGAACTATTCTTTGTTCTCTGTCGGGTCTTCTCTGTTAGGCCTCCAGGAGGGGTCATGGTGGAAAGAAAGGATGCAAGTCCTGGGTTATGATGGCCAGGAAGCTCAGTTCTTGCTGGCAGGCAGTTCTTAAAGTGAGCTCACACACTTTTCAGTCTCTGAGGTCTTGTCTCAGGTCGGAGGAAGGGGACGGCGGTTAAGTGCTTCACTGCTCACTGAAAGGTGGGTTGGTGCCTCGAGCCTGCACCTGGGAAGAAAGGCCTGGTGAGCCCCTTCGGACGAAACAGCCATTGACAGCCTCGTGGGTGCAGTTCTGCTCTGACCCGCGGGATCCCCTGCGCCAGGGTTGATGGCAGAGGTCTGGAGAGACCGACAGAGCCACAGCGTCTGGACTGCCTCACTCTGTGTGTTTCCTGAGCTTGAACGACTCAGTCTCTGTGCACGTTTCGTTTTCAGAGTTTCCTGAAGCATAAAGACGCCAGACCCCTTCGCGACGTGCTGGCCGCCAACCCCAGCCGGTTCATCACCCTGCTGCTCCCTGGGGGCACGCAGCCCGCGGTGCGACCCGGCTCGCCCAGCACCAGCACCATGCGGCTGGACCTCCAGTTCCAGGCCATCAAGGTGGGGGCCCCCTGACGTCTCCCGACCCGCCGCGGGAAGGCCTGTCGGCGCACTCACCGTCCCCTCTCCCGCAGATCATCAGCATTATCGTGAAGAACGACGACGCGTGGCTGGCCAACCAGCACTCCCTGGTGAGCCAGCTGAGACGCGTGTGGGTGAGCGACGCCTTCCAGGAGCGCCACCACAAGGAGAACATGGCCGCCACCAACTGGAAGGAGCCCAAGCTGCTGGCCTACTGCCTCCTGAACTACTGCAAGTGGGTGCCCCTCCACGCCGCCCGCCCGGCACGGGGCCTGTCCTCCAGGTCACGCAGGGGGGCCCTCCACGCCGTGCGCCCGGCACGGGGCCTGTCCTCCAGGTCACGCAGGGGGGCCCTCCACGCCGCCC